CTTAATTATGCACAAAGCTATACAGTGGGCAATCTGTGCTCTGCCTACCACGGGTATCGAAACCCAGTTTCTAGCGTTGTAAGTCCTTAAACTTACCGCTGTCCCACTAGGGGGACTCTTAGATATTGTTATCACATGATTCTATATATATATATATAGCTAATACAGGATCCTAAGAATAATTATAACAGTATTCTAGTTATAGGTATCACAGGATGATAGGTATTATTATTACAAAATGTTAGCTATATCTATCAAAGTAACATTTGTATAGTTAACACAGGATACTAGGAATGATTATCACAGCATCCTAGGTATAGTTAACACAGGATCATAGGTATAGTTAACACAGGATTTTAGCTATAGATATCACAGCATCCTAGGTATAGTTAACACAGGATCATAGGTATAGTTTAACACAGGATTCTAGGTATAATTATCACAGGATTTTAGCTATAGATATCACAGGATCCTTTGTATAGTTAACACAGGATACTAGGAATTATTATCACAGTATCCTAGGTATAGTTACGATAGGATCCTAGGTATTTTATAATCACAGGATCCTTTTTATAGTTAACACAGGATACTAGGAATTATTATCATACTATCCTAAGTATAGTTAACACAGGATACTAGGAATTATTATCATAGTATCCTAAGTATAGTTCCGATAGAATCCTATGAATAATTATTCCAGGATCCTAGGTACAGTTAACACAGGATACTAGGAATTATTATCATACTATCCTAAGTATAGTTAACACAGGATACTAGGAATTATTATCATAGTATCCTAAGTATAGTTCCGATAGGATCCTATGAATAATTATTCCAGGATCCTAGGTACAGTTAACACAGGATACTAGGAATTATTATCATACTATCCTAAGTATAGTTAACACAGGATACTAGGAATTATTATCATAGTATCCTAAGTATAGTTCCGATAGGATCCTATGAATAATTATCCCAGGATCCTAAGTATAGTTAACACAGGATACTAGGAATTATCATCATAGTATCCTAAGTATAGTTCCGATAGGATCCTATGAATAATTATTCCAGGATCCTAGGTATAGTTAACACAGGATCATAGGTATAGTTAACACAGGATCATAGGTATAGTTATTCCATGATCCTAGGTAAACTTAACAAAAAGGTACTTGATAATTTATCGACATATTTAAAGTAGTGTTTTGGACTTTGGAGAACAGATTTACACAGAAGTTTCACAAGATAGTTTAAAGAGAGTTTTTAGTTCCCTTTAGTTTTCCCGCTGTTTTCCCAGTTGTGTTTCAGTACGTATCCGGTAAAAACCTCCATTTTCTGCCATATTTTCTTTATATTTTTACAGCCCCATTCAGTCGTCCGAGAGGCATTTAAGCGTTCATGATAAGTGTGAACAAGTTTAGTGTAGGTTTGGCTCCACTATTTAAAGTTAAAACTATTGTTGAAGCGTTGGTTCATGATAAGTTGAACAGGTTTAGTGTAGGTTTGGCTCCACTATTTAAAGTTAAAAGTATTGTTGAAGCGTTGGTTCATGATAAGTGTGAACAGGTTTAGTGTAGGTTTGGCTCCACTATTTAAAGTTAAAAGTATTGTTGAAGCGTTGATTCATGATAAGTGTGAACAAGTTTAGTGTAGGTTTGGCTCCACTATTTAAGGTTAAAACTATTGTTGAAGCGTTGATTCATGATAAGTGTGAACAAGTTTAGTGTAGGTTTGTC